CAAGTTTGATCAGGAATTAACCATCAAATAATACTTATGTTGTCTTTTAAACGACGGATTCATAAGGCTCAACAAATCAGTAAACAACAGTCACATACTCAAGTGATATTCAGAGAATCAAATAGCTTTAACTAAAGTTATGGGTCCCATCAAATATCAAACATTTTTGGTCATTTTGGTAATAAAGCTACAGACATTAACTAACCCTAACCAAATGGGTTTAATTCATCCAAAATCGATGTGCCAATGGTCACCATCAATACCGTAGGCATGAGAAACATTTGGCCATGTTAATATAACGCTGGTTGCCTGAACTAATGTCTAAGTCGTGTTTTTTAGCATTAGCTTAGCGCTTACCCTAGCGGGAGTCTACCGGATTGTCGTAGCACCACATATCAAAGCAAACAAAACAATCCACTCACCGCTGAGCTGATCAAGTAAGGCACGTTACTTCATTGCTGGGCAGGATTGTTTCCACAGCGGTAGTCGCCGATTATCCGTTTTTCTGCTTAAGTACACCGGCCACAGAAACAGCAACAGCCACGCAGCATAAGAGAGGTAGCGTTGTGACACAGAACTTATAGAAGGTGTCATCCCCGTCAAAATAAAAGCTGGTCAGAGGTGGAGGTTAGGTTCACACTAATGCTAACTGTTAGCTTCTACCAGCCGAGACGTCCGCTGTGTCTCAATTCAGGGTCTGCATCCTTTGAAGGACCCAGCCTACTCGGCCGACGTGGGCTGGGTCCTCCGTCGACCGGGTAGACCGGATGTTAACGGCTGTGAATTTGGACAGGCCTAGCCTTCATGAATTCCCTCCACTCCCTCAGCGAACGTTCCGTCGCCTAGCAACCGTGGAACCGCTGAGCAGAAGGGAGAAGGAACTTTAAACGATGGAGCTCGACGTTTTATTTAGATCTTTAATCATTTCCTTGACTGTTGGAGAGCTAATTCAGAGAAAATACTTTCGACAAGCTGAGCCTGAGCAAAGATGTGATAATAGTTTTTAATACTTTCTAAGGGTCTTCATTTGACCAAAACCCATTTATCACCTTTTAAGACTTTTCAGACCCAGCGGATACCCTCTAGTAAACAATTCTCATTTGTAAACAAAAATAAAATTCAAGAGTTTAATACAGAACTGATTTTATTTAGATATTTCTTTTATATGTACATGTTTAATCTTTATTAACCATTTTTTCTGTCAAAATTCTCCCTTCTCTCCTGTGCCCTCTGCTGCTCTGCCTCCCTCTACAGCCTCATGTCCTCCCTGATCAGCTCCAGAAGCTGGTCATCGCTGGCACCTTCCCCTGGATGTCCATTTTCTCCAGAATAGTCTTAACAAACATGTAAGAAAAGAAACAGGAAGGGAAAAGAGGACAACGGGTTATTCCTTTCATGTTTTTGCAGAAAAAAATAAACTCAAACGAGTTTTTAAAATATGAGATGTTATTGTACCTCCATGCCACAGCCGCCGAATACTTTGCTCCAGTGAACATGTGGTCCATCTCCGCCCTAAGCTTAATAAATTCCCTGGTTTTCTCTTTTGTCCCTAAAATACAAACTTCTATTAAAATCAGGGGGAAACGTAGTGGGAGAAGTACGACACCGAGCGGCCGAACATACGAGCCGAGACCGCAATACAAGCGCTTTTACTGTAACATTTCTAACTAAAATAACGTTCATGTATCACAAAAAGCCCTTAACCTAACAGTTTTCAAGTTTATACTGACATTTATTTGCGTAATCCTCTCCGACAGCTCCTGCTTCACTGTCCGCCATTGTTTTTAAAAGTTCTACCGTCCGGCCCGCAAGGCATTTTGGGAAATGTAAACCATTGAAGGATACACCGGACCCATCCTTCATTCAGGCGAAAAGAAGGCCGGATTCGTCGACCGCATTTGAAGGAGTCTTCGAATTAGGACAGGCCTAGTCGCGGCGCTGTGACGTAACCGGCCGACGATGGATGCAGACCCTGAATTGAGACACAGCCATTCTCTCCTGTTTCCTGGAAGCAAAACCAACAACAGCCTTTCCCGTAGCGAGTCAAGATTGATGCGTACACGAATGTTCATTTTAAATGTGACGTAGATCGGACTGGTTTTCTAATCCATAAGTTTCCTCATCCATTTTTTTTCAGCGGCCAGTTCAGAAAATAGTGTTAGGAAACTCTTGTCCTGTTTAGCCTGCATGTTGAGCTCAGAGTGACTGATCAAATGTCAAAAACAACAAGTAGAAAACCATTTCTCAGTGTCCTTGGACTTTCATTTATTTGTTATATAAACCTAAAACCAGAGGAGCGTGAGTTTGGTCCGCATAGCCGGTAGTAAGTCGGACCTGTTCCCAGTGAGGGTTGGACTCCGCCAGGGCTGCCCTTTGTCACCGGTTCTGTTCATCACTTTTATGGACAGAATTTCTAGACGCAGCCGTGGTGTAGAGTGTGTCGAGTTTGGTGGCAGGAGGATCTCGTCTCTGCTTTTTGCGGACGATGTGGTCCTCCTAGCTTCATCCAGCTCTGACCTTCAGCTCTTGCTGGGTAGGTTCGCGGCCGAATGTGAAGCGGCTGGGATGAGGATCAGCACCTCCAAATCTGAGACCATGGTTCTCGACCGGAAAAGGGTGGCTTGCCACCTCCGGGTCGGGGGAGAGGTCCTACCTCAAGTGGAGGAGTTTAAGTATCTCGGGGTCTTGTTCACGAGTGAGGGTAGGAGGGATCGGGAGATCGACAGGCGGATTGGTTCAGCGTCTGCAGTGATGCGGATGCTGAGCCGATCGGTCGTGGGGAAGAGGGAGCTGAGCCAGAAAGCCAGGCTCTCGATTTACCGGTCGATCTACGTCCCAGTCCTCACCTATGGTCATGAGCTTTGGGTAATGACCGAAAGAACGAGATCGCGGATACAAGCGGCCGAAATGAGTTTCCTCCGTAGGGTGGCCGGGCTCAGCCTTAGAGATAGGGTGAGGAGCTCGGACATTCGGGAGGGACTCGGAGTAGAACCGCTGCTCCTCCGTATCGAAAGGAGCCAGTTGAGGTGGTTTGGGCATCTGGTCAGGATGCCTCCTGGACGCCTCCCCGGGGAGGTGTTTCGGGCATGTCCTGCCGGCAGAAGGCCCCCGGGTCGACCCAGGACACGTTGGAGAGGTTACATCTCCAATCTGGTCCGGGAACGCCTTGGGGTCCTGCCGGAGGAGCTGGTGGACAAGGCCGGGGAGAGGACGGCCTGGAGCTCCCTAGTTGGGATGCTGCCCCCGCGACCCGGACCCGGATAAGCGGAGGAAGACGACGACGATAAACCTAAAAAAATCTGTTTAATTTGGGGGTCAGTCTCTCCAACCAGAAAAGGGTTCCTTTTAGTATTAATTTGATTACTCAGCAAAGTGTACATTCGTCTAGAGCACACGGAGACAGCTTTTAAAAATCGTAACTTTATCATCAAAACTGTCATTTGCAATAGCTATCAGGTTTTTGATTCCTTCATGAGATTTGTACCAACAACTGCACGCATCTACTGCTGGTACGACACACACTGGTCAAATCTACTCCACTTAACCACACTACAAAAAACAGAAATACTATGTTTGTCTTTGTAAAATAAAGTTATGCAAACAAAGGTGCATCGTCAAGACCTGGCAGTATTTAAAAAGTAATTATCTTTTTGTGAGTGAGCATTTAAAGTTTATAAAGATTTACATCACTTGTGTTGTTTCTGCTGCTTTTCTTCTCCCTGTGTCCCGATCAGACGTTACTCAGACGTGCACTCTCGGCACACACCTACAACCAGAGTCACAGTGACAGAAACCCCACGAGAATGATGGAGTACTATGGCAGTTTGCTTCCGTTTCCAGCGTGAAACGGGCAGTTGCCGTACGTTGTGCAAGTGCCATCGTTGGCTTCCTCCGACCCAGCACGGCCGGGACTGTGCGCACGCAGCACCTCATCAGGCCTCAGAGCAGCCGGGCTGCGCTCCTGCAGCCTCGGACGTGCAGCCAATAGAAATGCTGGAAAGTAAAGGTTACCAGAACAGAGCTGACTCCACTTGGGCATCGATTTTTCCCGAACAAACACGCTGCACTCAAATCCACTTACTAACAAAAAGGTGTCATTTTCCAACAGGAAACCCAAAAAGAAAGATTTTACTCTCCGTAAATCCAGTAAACGTCACACGCCGATTAGCCCAAGGCCCATTCTCATCTGTATCTGCTTGCCACCTGATGTGTTGTCAGGGGGTTGAGAGAAAAGTGCTGGTCGGCAGGGGCGATGGTGCAAATGTGCCCTGAAAGAGCCAAGTCATGTGACCTGATGAAAGAGGATGTACTGCGGGGCCAGTGCTGGCCAGGATGAATTTGTCATGCTGTTTGTTTTATGTTTAATTCTTCTTCTATGTTTTCCTCTCCAACACGCCCCCCCCCTCCTCCATCCATAAGAACGTTTTGGCATGTTGAAATTCACACCACACTGCCCTGCCCAGCCCAAGGGCCTCCCTCGATGCCGCCGCTCAGCAACCCACCACATCTTCTTTTATCAGCATCCATCTTAGACGTCCCTTTGCAGGATCATCCATTCAGCAACGACTTTTTCTTTTGTGCCTTTGAATTCAAGTAAGGGATCACTTCCACAGCCGGTATCCTTTCATCCCATCTCTTTTTTAGACTATTATTTTACATCATACTCCATCCCATTCCTTTGTGTGTGGGGTGAATTTCCATTATACCGGTTATTACGGTATAATGACTTTAAACGGGCTTCAGTTACCGACCTTTGTCGCTACCTTTGATATGCACTTCAGTGGCATCCAATAATGTAGCTTCCCAATCTCTATACCTGCCTGGCTTTGGATGTGGATGTTTGCTTTGCTAGTTTATATCTCTCTCTCTTCATATACATATATATGTATTTATATAAGTACTCGCCCTTGGTTCCCGTATTTGCTTAAGGATCTTCTTTAAAGTACTGATCAGGTGGATGGACATTTATTTTACTTTTCTTTTCTCCCCCCTCTATGCAGCCCTCTTCCTCTCTAGAGACTCAGGATGTAAGAATTCCTTAATATGAGTTTTATTCTCTTTATTTCTGCACACGAATGATTGAGTTCCTTGTGAGAGTAGCTGTGGGGCACGTGCGGGGGAGGGAGGGCACCACACCGGCTTGCCGTCTAGTAGGATTATGGTAAAGCCGGCCTGTTTTCCTTGACTGTCACAGGTAAGCGTCTGAATGTTCAGTGTAGGGTAGACCTCGAGAGGGCGTGTTGGAGCGGTAGGAATCCTTTTAGATGATCAAAGCAATATAGGTATCTCACCTTGACATCTTTACGAGTCATCACCCATTCCAGTGCATTTCTAGGGGCTGAGTGAATGTGTCTGGAGGACTACACTGCCATCTTGTGCAGTCCTAGTGTGATAACGCTGCATAAACCGTAGCCCAGCGCCCTCATACCAGGCTGAACAGACTATTGCCACACTCACATCTAACAAGCTTTATCCCCTTTCTTTCTCACTCTTGCTTTCTCACATGCTCTAGGCTTTATTGGGTCCCTCTAAGCACTTAGATAATGAAGGTTACCGTGGGGGTGGTGGGTGCTGTTGTTTTTGGGGGTGGATGGAGAAATCGGGTGAGACTGAGATCACAGTCCTCACCCCGGCCATAGAGCATGAATAATGTTTCTACATATATTTATTTTAGGATAGGAAAAGTGGTAGAGCAGAGCCCGACCCCAAAAAGAAAGCCTCTTTTAGGTCCATCAGTACCACCCTGGCCTCCAGCATCAAGAGACGTAGGTCCTCCAAAGACACGGTAAGAAGACGAAGAAGCAACGACTTCCCGTTGACGCCTCCTCCTCTTTTCTCTCCTCCTCCTCCTCCTCCTCCTCCTCCTCCTCCTCCTCCTCCTCCTCCTCCTCTGTCTCTAGTATAATCTTCCTCCTTCTCTGTCCGCTCTGCATACATCCCCATAAATCCAACCACGAAAGTCCCATTCCAGCTCACTCATTTCCACGCGGCTCTGCGCGACCTTCTGCCAAGTGTCTGTCCCTTCACCATCGATCAGCCATCACCATTTAGGGTTTACAGCTCCTTTAGTTCGACGAGAGAGAGGATCTGCTGGCCAGGCCAGCCTAGAGTAGCTGCTGGGTCCTGAATCTGATCAAAGGTCCTGGAATCATCAGGTTTTCTAGAGGCTGGGGCAACAAAAGCAAGCACTCTGCCGGTGTTGTTTTGTCTTGGGCTGCTCTTCCTTGCTGCCTCTGGTTTGGACGTGGGTTCTGGTAGTTTTTTATTTTTCCTGCGATGAGGTGTAGTGAGTGTGTGTCAGTTTGATGCATTTGTGATCACGTCCTGTTGTTTTAATTGCTTGATCCCATCGTTTCTTTGCACCAGTCCTGCACTTCCTGAGTTTGGTTCTTTGCTTGTTTTCATGAGCATGCTCTCGTGTTCCGTCTCCTTTTTGTTTTCAAATCCATCTTCAAGGCAGCCGTGACGTCCCGTCCTCCTGAGAAGACGACCGGCGTGTCGCCTTAATGACCAACAAGTCTATTGCAGGATCACACTCATGGATTTCTATTAATAATTTAACTTTTTTGCTTTGTCATAATTATTCTTTAATTTCCAGCGTCCTTGTGGTCTGAACTGTGCATGCCTCTTTCAGGGTATATTTTCAGGTGATGACGACGGTCTTCTTTTATGTTCAACCTAATTCATTGGGCCAGAAACTCTGTGAAGTCTTAGGCTCTCACGAGGCAAGCATAAAAACACGTCCCAACAGCTTCCACAGCCTTTCTTCACACTTTTGCTGCAGCTCACTGAAAGTGTCCGGGGCATTTTCGTGCTTTTCCTTCCACAGCCGAGTTGAAAAGCTCTGCTGCTTTAGACTGGGAGCGCGTGCTGCAGAAACATGACAAAGAAAGCAGCAACCTGCAGTTATTTGTAGCTGCTTGGCCGGATCAAATCCGTCCCGTTCATCTCTAAAACGAGCAGAAACAGCTTCAATGGCTGGAGTTAGCCCAGAAACGCTCTGGATAGAAGCCGACTCGCTAGCTGCTGCTATAAGCTAACCAAGTGCAAAGAAAAATAAATTTAAGCTTAAATAGATTTTCTGTCTCTTGTTCCTCGTGTGTTAACGGATCTTTATGCACCAATGCCTTTACTCTCCTCTGGCCGTCGCCCAGTAGCACTCACTGGTTTTGTGATCAAGAGGCAAAGACCGTGACCGCCTTTGTTCATGTCTGCTCAAGGTTTGGATGTTGGTGTAGAGCCCTGACGGAGAAACTGGAAGGATTTAGTGTAATTTTTAAAAGATGCTGTAAATAAAAGACCTACCATCTTCAGTCTTTAACCATTATTTTAATTTTATATAAATGTTCTTCTTTTATATTAATGGATATCAATGGACTTGAGTGTGTCCCTCACCCACATGTCACACTGCTCCTCCTGCTCTTCCTCTACTAGCATGCTAATAGCTTTACCTGTCGTAGCTGTAGTAACCGTAGAAACAGTAGCTTGATAAGCCCTACCTGTGCTTGTGATGTCAGTAAAGTGTCTCTGACCCCAGTAGGAAGTGCTCTTAGCAGGGAACAGACATGAGGAGAACCAAACCGGGCTGTAAGCTACAAGATGATGATGCAACTTAGTGGGTCAAGGGGATGAGGGACATCCACTCTGATTCTTTAAAAGCTGTTCAGTCTGGATGTCGCTCCACCTGTTAGCATGTTAGTTGCATCATAAGCTTGGATATTTTTGGCTTTATTAGCTCTTATTTAGAACTTTGTTGTGCTTGAATGAGAAGAATGACACTGACCAGCGATGTAGTGTGGATTGGATAATGGAGATAATATCTTCCAAAAACATCATTATTTTCTTGTTTACTGCAGCTGACAACAATGAGATGGTTTAGCAACGTTTTACCTGTTAATTCCACAAAAACCTAATTGAATCAGCTTTGAAGAGACAGTTCAGATCTTCTAAAGGAAGGCTCTGTAGCTCGCGGTTTGAATGATATCAGTTTGGAGAAATGGTTCACCTGACGTTCTCAAGCCAACCCAAAACACACCTGAAGACACCGTGTTTGTCTGGAGCAGCTGTGTAGTCCATGCTTCTTTTGGAGGATATGGTTGCATTTTGCTGTTCCTTTTCATTTTTATGTACTTTTTCAAGTTTCGAACCCCAGCTGTAATCAAAGATACGGATGAAGTGAGTCTAAAAAAGGTATCTGCAAACTCCGCGGTGGAGTGCATTCAAACAAATGTCTCGTGTGGAACTACTCCTGACAGAACACCTTCAGCAGGTTTAACCCTTCAACAGGAGCTCATTAAAGGTGCAGTGTGTAAGAATTAAAGTAAGGTGACATCTTGTGGTCAAATGTAGGTACTGCAATCCTTTTCTCACTCCTGTTCCATGAGTTTCATGGCTATTGCAAGTTACGGATCAGCACCAGAGGATTCTAGAGGACAAACACGAGTCAGACACAGTTAGTTGATAAGTCGATAAATGCATTGTCATATCTGGTGCTAGCACTTTTGGGTATTTTACGGTAGGGAGCACTTACTATACTTATTATGGTAACATGCCCCAAAAATATAGGAAGTGTTGTTTTTTACCGTATGCCTGTTAGCTTGCTGTTTTAGTTCTAAAGAAAGTAAAATGCCACGTTTGAATAATTTTTCCTTACACAAACACATTTCACTGTAATTTGAGTTGTTGTAGATTGAAAAAGTAGCTTGAGATATTTTTCGAGATGACTTTTTGCTTCTAATTCACTGTTCGTGTTGTTAGCTCAATGTTAGCTTTTTTTGCCTGATATAAGAGTAAAACAAAAGATGTCGTGGCTTCGTAGGGGTATAAGAAATAACTTCTGGGTCGCTCCTCTTTACTGGCTTCAGTTCTTTAAACAACTCCGGAGCTTTTTGGCGGCCAGTGTCAAATTACAAATGCTAGCAGTGCAGCGTTAGCTCGCAGAAGACACAGGAACCTCTAGCTATGTCCCTGCTTGGTTTATTTTGAAAGGAGTAAAACTGACAAACCTTAAAGCTGGCAGAGAATAAAATGTTTTACTGTAAATTTTCTTCTAACATGAATGAGACATTCAACTGTTTGTGATCATTTCACAGTAGAAATCTTACTTGATTCTTACACAATGCACCACTTCACTGGTAAATCCCAGAGTCCCCGGTTGCATTTTGTTGTGTATAGATGTTTATATAGTCGCACTACCTCTAATCTTTCCTAATATGAGGCCAATTTAGGAGCAGCGCAAAAAATAATAAATCACCGTAAAATCGTGTTTCCAGGATTTTAATCTTTTTGGGGCCTGTGAGAACTTTCAACCTGATGGTTTTAACCCAAAATCGTAAATTTCGGACATCCGTGCCCTAAATGAATAAATGCTTTGCTTTGTTTTCTGTGCTAATCAGGAACCAAATAGCCTCGATGCTCAGAATTAGAGACAACGAAGAATAAAGCCACACAAAAACAACACATTATTTTTATCAGGTTCTTCTGTTCAAACCTGCAAAAATTGATGGGATTTTAATTTTACTTTGACACGATTGGACTGCAGCCTTCTGAAATATGAAATGACAAAAATCTTTTTTTTTTATGTTTGAACAAACCTGCTAATCACTAATAGACTAAAGAAGACATAATGAGTCTAAAACGACTGTCCACTGGCCTTCCGTTGCTCTGCTCATGAATATCTTTGCCAACAGCTGAGTGTTTCAACAATCCTGAAAACAAACGTAAAAATGATCAGGGGCACAGGTATTTAAGGCTTTAAAGAGCAAGTCACCCCCAAATCGACTTTTTTTTGCTGATAAACTAAATAAACGAGTGTCTAATCGTGCTGCAGACACGTGTAGTCAATAATTTGGCATTTCAGTGCATCTTAGTTAAAATTTAAATATTCTGCCTAAAACTGGCAGTGTTGTGCCGTTGTCAGGTAAAAACTCTGCACTGTATTTTTATTTAAATCTGCCACCGCTATTGGCTAAGAGGTATGCTATGATGTAAACTGGTACATAATGATGTCACAATGCTGTCGTGAGCCTGTGTGTGTGTGTGTGTGTGTATTTGTTAGCAGCTCCGCCTTCTCGGTCTGCCAGGCAACAGCGTTTGTTGCATTTTTCAAACAGGAAGTGAGAGTGGAGTTAGACTCTGGTACGGGTTGACTTGCTCTTTAAAGAGCAAGTCACCCCCTACCAGATTCTTACTCAACTCCCACTTCCTGTTTGAAAAATGCTTCAAATGCTGTTGCCTAGCAGAAGGAGAGGGCGGAGCCGCTAACAAATACACACACACACACACACACACACACACACACACACACACACACACACACACACACACACACACACACACACACACAGGCTGTGTCTCAATTCAGGGTCTGCATCCTTCGAAGGACCCAGCCTACTCGGCCGACGTGGGCTGGGTCCTCCGTCGGCCGAGTAGACCGGATGTTAACGGCTGTGAATTTGGACAGGCCTAGCCTTCATGAATTCCCTCCACTCCCTGGGCGAACGTTCCGTCGCCTAGCAACCGTGGAACCGCTGAGCAGAAGGGAGAAGGAACTTTACGATGGAGCTTGTCGTTTTATTTAGCGTTTTAATCATTTCCTTGACTGTTGGAGAGCTAATTCAGAGAAAATACTTTCGACAAGCTGAGCCTGAGCAAAGATGTGATAATAGTTTTTAATACTTTCTAAGGGTCTTCATTTGACCAAAACCCATTTATCACCTTTTAAGACTTTAAGACCCAGCAGATACCCTCTAGTAAACAATTCTCATTTGTAAACAAAAATAAAATTCAAGAGTTTAATGCAGAACTGATTTTATTTAGATGTTTCTTTTATATGTACATGTTTAATCTTTATTAACCATTTTTTCTAGCAAGCCTGTCAAAGCTCTCCCTTCTCTCCTGTGCCCTCTGCTGCTCTGCCTGCCTCTGCAGCCTCATGTCCTCCCTGATCAGCTCCAGGAGCTGGTCATCGCTGGCACCTTTCCCATGGATGTCCATTTTCTCCAGAATAGTCTTAACAAACATGTAAGAAAAGAAACAGGAAGAGAAAAGAGGACAACGGGTTATTCCTTTCATGTTTTTGCAGAAAAAACTAAACTTAAAATATGAGATGTTATTGTACCTCCAAGCCACAGCCGCCGAATACTTTGCTCCAGTGATCAGGTGGTCCATCTCCGCCCTAAGCTTAATAAATTCCCTGGTTTTCTCTTTTGTCCCTAAAATACAAACTTCTATTAAAATCAGGGGGAAACGTAGCAGGAGAAGTGCGACACCGAGTGGCCGAACATACGAGCCGAGACCGCAATACAATCACTTTTACTGTAACATTTCTAACTAAAATAACGTTCATGTGTCACAAAAAGCCCTTAACCTAACAGTTTTCAAGTTTATACTGACATTTATACGCGCAATCCTCTCCGACAGCTCCCGCTTCACTGTCCGCCATTGTTTTTAAAAGTTCTACCGTCTGGCCCGCAAGGCATCTTGGGAAATGTGAACCATTGAAGGATACACCGGACCCATCCTTCATACAGGCGAAAAGAAGGCCGGATTCGTCGACCGCATTTGAAGGAGTCTTCGAATTGGGACAGGCCTAGTCGCGGCGCTGTGACGTAACCGGCCGACGAAGGATGCAGACCCTGAATTGAGACACAGCCACAGAGACTCACGACATTGTGACATCATATGGTACCAGCTAACGTTCTACGGTACCTCTTAGCCAGTAGCGATGGCAGCTTTAAATGCAGTGCAGAGTCTTTACCTGACGACGGCACAACACTGACAGTTTTAGGCAGAAAATTTAAATTTGAACTAAAATGCACTCAAGTGCAAAACTATTGACTACACGTGTCTGCAGCACGATTAGACACGCATTTATATAGTTTATCAGGAAAATAAGATAATTTGGGATGACTTGCTCTTTAAAGTTGTTTTAGGATTACAGTAATCTACTAGCTGTTAGCTAATTAGCACAGTCAGAACTAGTCCGTTTTTCCAAACTGAAACCAAAAGCTACGAGAAATAATTGTTTCATCATTTTATTTCACAGAAAAAGACTTTAAAAGATCTAAACTATCTCCTCAGACATATCTCTGCCCTTAGACCAACAACATGCATGAAGCTGGAGTCCTCTTTGCTTTAGCACTCTAAAGAAGCACGGGGAAGGAGAGACTGGACCTGAGAGTCTCACACAACGGTCAATAATTCATCTCCTCCTTCTGAGTGGCTAAATTTAGAGGAACTGCATGAATCCTAATGACTGTGTGGAGATAAACGACTAGTTTCTCCGTGACAGGAAATGATCGCCCAGTCGTGTTGCTAACGGTGTTAGCATCAGACTTGCTGTTGTTGAGACTCTCGTCTGCTCTCCTCTAGCCCATCTCAGGTTCAGACAGGAAATTCAAACTTTATTAATAACAACAATCACCTGAGATGGGTTGGAGCATCCTCCTGCTTCTGTAAATAAAAATAAACCCAACGGTTACATTAACTAACTGCTGAATGACACTTTTGTGGCAAAAACTGACTTTTTTCTGTCTCCTGTCATCCTTTGCTTTCGTGTTTCTTCACCTCTGCAGCAGTTCCCACCTACTGACGCCACGGGCCAACTCAACTTGTCGGACCCGTCTGTCAGCACCGTGGTGTAAAAACGAGGGCGGCGTGGACATTCGCTCCTCGAGGAGAGAGGAAACAAGATGATGTGAAAAGAAAGAGAGCAAAGGAACGGGGGGATTACTCCACGGTCGCTTTGTCGGCAAAGCCGAAGCTGTGGAGGTGTGTGGAAACAGTCCGCTGAAGAAAAGGCTGACGACACTGAACTTTGCACCTTTTTAAAAAAGATCTGATCTTAGATGTTTGTCGGATCGCCGAGCATGCACAGAAAACTCATCGGACTCCAACTTTTCCTTCTCTATACTCTTAGCTTAACTTACTTAATCTCGTTTTGTTGATTTACTCACATGAACTTAATGTTTGATGTTTTCTAACTTGCTTAGCAGATGCATAGCGTTTAGAGAACCGGATTTAGTTTGGTTTCATTGCAGGAAAGAAAAGTTGCAAATATTGTATTTGACATATCACTTCCAATTAGGGCCTAATAACCGCTGAAATGTTTCGTTTTCCTAACATTTTAGTGCAATACGAGAAGTACTGTAAGCGTCAGTGGAGATGAATTATTCTTAATAGGAACTATACGTGTTTTCTTGACACTTTAAATGCTTTAGACAAATTTCTTTATTAAGAAGCACTAATCATAGCATTAAAACGGAGCATCTGGCTTGTCTCGTATACAAACGGAAATGGAAAATAAGCATGTGTGTGTGCTCGTGTGTGAAAAGCAGCTCTTATGTATTTGAATGATTACTTTTTAGGATGTATACGTTAAAATTCTATCTTCCCCCCTAATTTTGCACTAACCTACCAAAGGTAGCAGATTGTTTTACATGTTTCAAAGATAACCAGATGGCATGATTATCAGCAGTTTGTTGAATTAGACTGAAGCTTCTTTAAGAGTATGACTCGAGGCCATTGGCGACGGCCACTCTGCCCCTCTCTCCTGCAGCAGCAGTCTTTCTCATTTCCAGTGTTGAAAGGGTTGCATCAAAGGGCCAGGTTTTTCACCCAACCAGCACTCGGTCTTTCATGCAAAACCTCCTGGCTGCGCAGCACCGGGGAACTTTTACACGAAGGAACTCGAGTGAATTGAAAACTACGATTGGCCGCCTTTGTGCAGGTCTTGGTTAGATGCAAAAACAGGCCGTTTCCCGTTTTGTGGAGATGAGAAACCACTGCTGTTTCCAAGCTCATGTCCTCTCTGGAGTCTGCCACTGCATCGCACTTTATGCCAAGGCACCTCCCCAAAGAACATTGATTGAAAAAAAAATCGTTAAGAAAGCAGACTGAATTACCAAACATTGCTTAGACATTTTAACTTTGCCAATTATTCCACAAATCTTTTTCTACATTACTTTTATTAGAGATAAAGGCTGTTTTATTACAGCCTAACACATACCCATGCATGCCTCTGTCTTAAGACCAGTGCTTTAGTTTGGTTTTGGATGTGTGCTGTTGACATGTACAGTTTACCTGAACCACTTAAAATGAATGAAATGTAAATAAAACCTGGTTCCCTGTAGACAAGGAGGTTTTACTGCACTTGTGCTGCAACTGCAGCTAAGAATGTTTCAAGCTAGTTATCAGCTCACAGGAGACGACACACACACACACACACACACACACACACACACACACACACACACACACACACACACACACACACACACACACACACACACAGTTACAGAAAGATTAGCTTGTTTTTATTACATTTTCCAGTAAAGATCTTGCATTGAATCGTCTTATTTATACAACTGTAAATAAAATATATGATGTTACCAAATCTTAAGTTTTTTAAATAATGCAATAGGTGGCTATTAAAGTCTGTGTCTGTATGTGTTTGCATTTGTCTGTGTTAGAAAAAAGATGTCATGACCCGGACAGATTTTAATTGAACTCAGTCTTTGCTGGACGGACATCTGCAATTCAACCTGATTCAAGATGGCTGCCAAAGCTAATCGATACTGACCAACGCAAAAAAAGCTACAATCTGGTAGCAACTAAACATCCTTACTAGGAACGTTGGTGTCTCAACATGGTCAGCAACCATACTCATGTAGGCTGTGGTGTTTAAACCAGACTAAAGTGGTACTAAGGGGTCCAAACTGGGCCTAGAACATGGTGTTTAAACAATGCTGGTACTAAGGGGTCCAAACTGGGCCTAGAACATGTCACCTATCATCAAACCAGCAGCAGTAGCCTAAAGTGTTGGTAGGATGGATCCATGCTTTCATGTTGGTGACACCAAATTCTGACCCGACCACCTGAATGTTGCAGCTGAAATCCACACTCATCAGATCAGGAAAGGTATTTCCAGTCTCTTCTGGTTCAGTTCTGGTGGTCCTGGGTGAATTCTAGCCTCAGTTTCTGGTTCTTAGCTGACAGGAGAGACACCTGGTGTGGTCTTCTGCTGCTGAAGTCCATCTAGAGCAAGATGTGCTTTAGAGATGGTATTCTACGAACCTTGGTTGGAACCAGTGATTATTGGAGCTACAGTTGTCTTTCTACAGTTTCTCTTGTGACGTCAACACATTTTCATCCACACACCTGCAGTTTGCTGAATATTTGCTGTTTTTGTTTTTTTTACCATTCTCCAAACCTCAGAGATGGTTGTGGAGTTAATGCTCAGACCAGCAGCAATGTTGTAATTCACTTAAATCTTATTTGTTCTTCATTCTGATGCTCAGTTTGAACTTCAATGTGTCTTCTTGATGCCTAAATGAACTGAACTTCTGCTGCAGAATTGGCGATTAGCTTTCCTATGTTAACAAGCAACTGGTCAGGGGTACTCGAGTGGCCGGGGAATCCGTCTGTTTACAAAATCAGAGGCATTTTGTCCCAGAGAAACTGGCGCTTGATCATCGCTAGTATTTTTGAGGACATATTAGTTCCTTTAAAAATCTTTAGCCAGAATTCTGCAGCAAGAGTTCTGACAGAAGCTGCAAAGTGTGTTAGACGGGATGCATAAATGAAGTTATGAGACAGTGAATTTATGCTGCGAGTCAGTTAGCATAGCAACATGAATGTTGGTGGGGAAAATAGCAACAACACAAATAATTGTTGCATGCTAAGTGAAGGGTGTCAGGTGGCTTAACATACCTGCTCATGACATTTTGAACAATTTGAAATACAGCAAATTAGCCTTTGAATTGCCAGAGGCTTTAAGCGGTTAGCTTCCCCACACAGACAAGAAAAGGGCGGTAAAAGTTCATCGACCCGTACTTCTCAGCTTGGGGGTTTCACCAAAGAGCAAAAGCTTCAAAGTGAAAAGCCCTGCTGAGATGAAAGACACATGAAACCACACAGAAAACCGTTCACGTTAATTCAGTCAGACCAGCAAGCAAAACGATGAGAGCACAAACCTCCGAGTCATGATCTGAGAACAGCTGAAGGGGATTATGACTCATGCACAAAACCTGAGACTGCAGGTTTCTGGAGTTGCAACTGACACAAACAGCAGATGTATGTCCCCTGGTAGTTTTGTTCTGCCTCTATCATCTGGATCACAAGTATTTCTACACGAAGACATTTTTGGAACCAACACTTCGACTAATTTGCTGACTTGAGCTGTTCCAGTACCTTTAAACCCTGTTTGTGTATTTATCACCTTTTATATGTTTGTGTTTGGTTATAAACAATGGCCATGACCTACAGCCTCAAATTTCTCCAAATCCGAAGTCATCATTCTCAGCCGGAAAACGGAGTCTCTAACGGAGCGAGAGACAAACCAACCAGTCGGGGCTCCACCTGCCGTTACGAGGTTGTTCAAAGTTAAACATCTCCAATCGCCAGTACATCCGTGTTACAGCCGACTCCATTTGTCACCTGATTTATTCCATTACTGAAGCGACATCCTGGATTAAAGCAGCCCAACTAAGTTTCTCCAGTGGGGTCAACCTTAGAAAACTTTTGGTGCAATCGCAACTGGGTCGGCCCGGTCTAGTGCATAGGTTAATTGTGTTCACACCTGGGTTATCTGCGTTTTCCTCTACTCTTCCAGGTAGGCTCGGCCAGCTGCACTATTCACTATCAGACTGGATGCATTGAGGTAAACATGTTCTCTGACTGACCCCAAAATTCCACTATCTCCACTCCGCTCCGGCACGAACTCCGCAGCAAAATCGTTCCCGTTGTAGTCAATCAGAGCTGTTCCACTGCTGCGGCCGAGCGGTGCAGTGCGCCACCCGGCGTTCCGCCATCCGGCAAAAATAGGATCGATTTTATTTTTGCCGGACGCCGGAGCACCTCCGCAGCCAATGGACAGGAATCACAACCGCCCAACAGCACAACTTCCGTTATTTCACAATAAATCGATAACAAAAAACGTCTTTTGTTTCATATGCACAGGTTTAACAACCTTTAACAACTATCAATGGCGGTTGAACTTTAAATGCACAAAAATAAGCCATAAATACAGTTTCCACTATCAAAGTGGTCACACTTTGTTGATCCAAACACTGCTGATCTCTCAACACAAATGATGGGCAGATTAAACAGTTCATGCCGATGCTTCTCCCACACAACGGGTGTTTGGATCTAACTTCCGCGTTTATTGCTCGGACTGTATCGCAAGATCTCGAAAATCCCGCGCATGCCTGTTTGCGCACCTCAGGTCTCCGCACCGGAGCGGAGCCGTTGTAGAGCGGGTACCAGTATAATTTGAGTTCGGAAGCGAGCGGCAGCGGAGGGCGGGGGCGGAGCGGAGATAGTGGAATTTTGCCTTGAAGCTCAGACCTGCCGCGGCACGAGGACAGGCTGCTGTGCCGCACCACTGCTCAGTGAGACAGTAGGAAGCTGTGTGCTTCATGTACGAGGTCTCCAAAAGCAACACAGCTCACGGCCACTTTTGTTTACTAACTTAAAGAGCAAGTCACCCCCAAATCAACTTTTTTCATAGTCGTGCGGTAGACACGTGTAGTCAATAATTTGGCACTTTAGTGCATCTTAGTTAAAACGTAAATGTTCTGACTAAAACTGTCAGTTTTGTGCCGTCTTCAGGTTAAAAACTCAGCACTACATTTTAATTTAAATCTGCCACTGCCATAGGCTAAGAGGTACACTATGATGTTATCTGGTACATTATGATGTCACAGTGTTGTGAGCTGTGTGTGTGTGTGTGTGTGTGTGTTAGTGGCTCCGCCCCCTCGGTCTGCCAGTCAACAGCATTTGCCTGGGGAACACCGGAGACGTGCCGCGGTGTTCGAGATAGACCTAGCGCCTCTCTTCAGCGCCTTGGCGTGGCACCTCTGGCTACCACCGACTGTGACATCACAGGGATGTTTTTAGGAAACAACATGAGTTGTGTAAAAAATGTTGTGTGAGATCTCTCTGCTGTCTGCAGGTAAAATCCTAACTGATCATAAATACTCTGAACAATCCCTCTTCTGAGCCGTCTTTGAGCCTAAAACAAGGTGGTGAGGCTGACGTTCCTGCTGTTTTCATTCAAATGAGGGCAGTTTGCACGTTGGGTTTTAACTCCTATCCGTGTGTAAATTCTGCAGGAAAACAACAACAAAATCTCAACCTGTGCCAGATTAGACCACCCATGTGTGATATGAAATATCTGAGTATGCGTTTATTTTTACACCTTAAATAAGGAAATGAGGAGGTGGTTAGATAGCTCCACCCTTTCACTCTGGAGCAGCAGGTTGCTTTTATCCTCTCAGCTCTGGACATGATAGACATTTTTGCCTCCTTGGCTGGCGTTTCCTGGGAGCTGTTTGCGTTCACTGACCGGAGAGGAGCAGGAGTCCAGGAGAGGAGAGAGGAGGACATACATGTGGGTGAATGTGAGCCGAGGCAGCAGGTGAAGCGCGAAGAGGCGCGACCAGACACCCCCAACTCATACCGGGTCAGGTCTCACATGTCCAGGGCAGAGGGACGCTTCTCACTTTCACTTCATGGCTCAGTGTTCCTCTCTTCCCGTCGTCCCCTTCGCTCTCCTGATCTTTGGACTTGTTGCCATCCTGCTCCTCACGGTTCCCACCGAGGACGTCCGGGAGGCGCCGGGGTTCACGGTAAGGTCCGCTCCTCCGGGATGGTAGGGTGTGTGTATCCGTGTGAAGCTGTTGGCATGGCGTGAAACCAGGAGAAGGAAAAAAACAATTCAGCAGCTTTTTCTAAGTCCGTGAGGTTGTATGGAAGCCAAATACCGCCGAAAAGAAGTAGGTCAACCTTTTATGTTGGCGTGTGTAAAGCAGTTCTAGCTGGGGTTGACCCAAGTCTTGGTTTGGTACAGCAAAGTAAATTCTAGTTTTCCTTCTTTTTTAAACAGACCATAACTGATAATCAGCTGCTTTCTTCATAAAATAAACATTGACATTATTCAGCTGATTCATCTGAGTCCTACAAGACCTGTCAAACAGTTTTCCTTTATGGTTTGGTTGTTTGGGTGATCTGTACTATTTGTTGTTTTAATGTGGTTTTGTGTTAAGTTTGGTAAATTAATTATTAGTAAAGGGTCATATGTATATGAGGGGTGGGGACATATACGTTTCGACTACAGTCTACTCCTTTTCAAGCAAAGAAGAAGAAAAAAGGATGGCGATTTAAAATGATGTACGTTTTCTTTGTTTGTTTGCTTGTTTGTTTGAATTAAAAAAAACACTACTACTATTTTATAGCTTTGTTGAAGTATCGGATAGGGACTCGTATTGGCAGGTACGGAATCGGATCTGGACTAAAACGTGTGATCGGAACATCCCTAGTCAAAATCACGAAACCGAAAACGAAGAAAATGCTAAGAAAAATAAATAGGTCGCAAAAGAAAAATAATACAAAAAAAGTCACCCTTGAAATAACTAAAATAGGTTTAATTTCCTACTGATGCTTCAGATTTTCCATAAAACTTCAAAAGATTATTGGGTGAAGAGTCTCAGTGCTTGTATTTCATCCTCTAATACACATGTGTCAGACACAAGGCCCGCGGAGCATTTTTATGTGGCCCGCGAGATAAATATCAAAAATAAATTAAAACTGACCCACTGGCTGATTTAACGCAAAGACTTCAACTCCTATGATGCTTTGCGGCGTTAGCAGCCGAAGTGCCCCCTCCTTTGTGTTTTTTCAGCGCCTGCTGCCGGTGTCTGCAGCTCCGCTGTCTCGGACAAACTACACTCCTCTCACTCAGCGCCGAGTTCACTCAGCTGTTTTCTGACGTTGAAGCCCAGAAACGGAGATTCTAGCCGCTCAGTAATGTGTTCACGACTTAAAGAGGACGTTTTCCAACTAACGTCCAGACAGAGCTGATATAACTCCAGCGAGCAGCGACACGCTCAGACCAGCACGGCTCTGTGGTCGTGTTTCCTCCCCGACACACAACAATGTGGTCAAGCTGCTCAGACATGTTCATCAGCACAAACCTATGTGAGCACCTGTTGTCATCTAATGTTGTCATTATTATGATGAAGATGAACAAAACAACAGGAGTCTCCTCCTCAGCTCAGATCAACCCCATGATGCAGGTATCTGGCTGGAACAGGTGAGCATCACAGTAAACCAGTGGAGCAAACTGAGCTTTAAATATGTTGGTTTTATGCTCTTTTTCTGCTCCAAAACATGAACGTTAACAGGTGATATGTTGCATTTTCATTTAAGATAAAATGATATTTTATTTTGTTGTTGGCCCGTGAGAAAAGATTTAACCTACAGTAAACAGGAAGTGGAAAGGCTGCAGATAGATGAATAGAATAGAAAATCCCTTTATTGTTCCTCAGTGGGGAAAGCTAGACGTCACAGCAGCGATGACACGTATTACAGGAGAAAAAAGGAGAATAAAAAATAAGAAAAATGAATAAACAAGAAAACATAAATCGTGAATAGATTTATAAAATGCTGATTATACCACAAGTAATCAATACCACTGATGCCTTTTATTTAAAACTGACTTGCTCGTGTGTCATTTGGTTATTCCACATTCAGTGTTAATGCAGAAATATGTTTGTTTCCAAATTTAAAGGTTCAAAATTGCATATATGTTGATAAAGAAAATGTGCAAATTTGCCGTCACTTTTTCAAAAAATATTAAGTTTGGCCCTCGACTCCGTCCCAGAGTTTCATTTCGGCCCCTTGTGAGTTTGACACCCCTGGTCTAATAATACACTGTTTCATGTAGAAACATGCTACTCTTATTTTAGTTTTGCTTCGGTGTGTTTCTGTTTGATGATTAAATGGACCTCATCTCGGTCTATTTCAGGCTTGGCCTCCGTGTCTTTGTCCTTCTGTCATAAAAACTCTTATCAGTAACAAAGTTTGGTGACCTCATGACAGAAATCTTTATTTGCTGCTCTTATCTCTTCTTAATGTCAGATAATAGTCCAACTTTACCAAGGAGTCGCCTGGCATTAAACACTCCCCAAAGTTAATTAATTACAACGTTTAATCCACTTAAGGTGGAAACCTATAATAGGAACCTGGAGCTGTGCTGTGGTGATGTTTGTGGTGTTTATGCAGCTAGCCAGACGTCTTGTTGCTCGTTTTCTGGGTCGCCCTGCTTTTTTAGAACGATCAAATCTCATTATGATTTTTATCAAAGCTATAGGCTCGATACACGGGAGGCGAAAAACGACCGCGATCAGCGAAATTCGTCGCTGTCGCTTTTATTACCTGACACACGGCAAAGCCGTCTACACGTTCTGTTCCACGGCGAAATCGAATCTTCCGTTGTTTTGATTGGCTGTGTCAGGTTGGAGGGAATTAAGGTTATTTAAGCGGTTCAGAGTTAATAAAGTGGTAGATATGATGTTTCACAAGGTGCTGCTAGAGTTATGTGAAATCTTACTTCTGATTTTACTATAAAACATAATAATAATCAGCTTCTCCACCATGTTTGCTCGGAGATGTACGGAGCATCCTGTCCGCTCATTGGTCAGTGAATGAAACCTCTGTTGATTGGTCCTCGTCCGAGCGACGGCGGTGAAAGGTTGAAAATGTTTCAACTTTCTGGGATCGCGTCGCTGGGTCGCCGGTGCACGACACGTGCACAAGCGCAAAATTTCACACGCACGTTTTTCGCGTTTCTCTTAGCAGGAGGGAGACCCGCGATTATCGCTTTGTCGCGCATGTCTCATTGAAAATGAATGGAGGAGAGGCGATGTCGCCTCCCGTGTGTCGAGCCCGTTACATCCAAGTCCACAGCAGAACAGGAAAAAAGTTTAAGAAACAAGAGAAATGCACACGTTTGATACAAGATTGGGATTTAAAATCATAATCGACAGCAGCGTTCAGGATGGTGGGCCGTTACAGACGAGGAACCGAGCACTCTCGTTTGGCCTTTACTAACATTTCTATGCATAAATAAATCATTAGCAAAACGTTGGTTCTAGCAGAAGTTGTGATTAACCTCCACTTCTGTTTTATTTTTTTACTTCACTTCTGTTTTATTTTTTTTACTTCACTTCTGTTTTAGGTGTTTTTGTTGAACCTTCTGGGCCACCATACTACAGTGCTGTAAAAAGATTTAAAAAGATAGCAGTATTTGTTACCAGAGGTGTTAGTTTTTAGTACTAAAATAAACGTACTTGTTGTGTATAATGTTTTCTCTTTAGTGAAGCTTATTCCCAAGTAATGTTTAGAGCTTGAGAGGCTTTTATTTTGAAAACAGCATGAGGAAAGGGCTGTGACTTGTGACTATGATTTCTTTGATTAGATTTATTTTTTAAATGTTGTTCAGGAGGGTTTTGAGTGCTTGCAGCAGCCTCCCAGCCCTACACCACCAGCAGGTGGTGCTCTAGGCGACTCCTAGGGCTGCACAATATATAGTAAATATATCGTTATCGCGATATAAGCATGCACATAATGTATATCGCAAAGAACAGATAAATATCGTAATGAATGGTCAGCTCTAATGTTTGCTACACATAATTCATTCTGTCAGTCAAACAGAAGCATGATGTTTTTTTAACAAATCAAATAGAGCTCTTCACTCATTTGTCCAATTGGGTGGGTTCTCATAGGTCAGACGCCCGCCCCCGAGGCAGACGGCACTTAATTCTGATGGTTGGCAAACACCTGAGTTAGCTTTGTTCGGCTCTTTCTGCTGATTCTGCTTTTCCCGGGATCCACTGATCGCCTTTTCTTGTTCATTTTCTTTTTCCCGTTTCTCACATCTTTTGCTTTTCTCATTTTTATGATTTTTTATCTTTTGATTATTCTTGTTCCAGAGTGAAGTTTTTATTTATCGCAAGTAATATCGCCATCGCAGTATTAATCATTGTTATCAAATATCGCAGGTTTTCCTAATATCGTGCAGCCCTAGCGACTCCATTCGTGGCCCACGTAGATTTGCCCTCTAACTTTCACAGCGTGCTTCAAATATCCTTTACGTTGTCCTCGGTTTCCTGTTAGTCATTTCAGCAAAAAATATTACGCACATCACGCCAGACAGGAACCAGAAGGGCTGTTTTGTAGGATGTTGTTTATGCTTGGTGCATATGCGTGATATCATCATGAAAGATTTGAAAGTTTTCACAATCTGCCAAAGCAGAGAGATCAAAGAATCGTCACATTCTAACAGAAAGATCGAGAACATGTTTCCACCCGGACCGTTTTAGATGTGACACACCCTGAGCCTGATTGCCTGAGTGTGTATTTATAATCATAAAGAAAGTAATGCTATAGGTGTGTTTGCTTGGTGATGATTTTAGCTTTAGCCTGTTAACACGAATTAACAGTGAGTTGGTGATTTACACCACTGCTTGTGAACGGCAGCCTCGCCTCTGTCAGTGCGCCCTAGGCCCGCTGTGGCTCCGATGTAGCTCATCACCAGCAGTGTGTGAACGCGTGTAAGTGAACGGATGAATGCTTCACTGTAGTGTAATGAGCTTTGGAGTCCTCAGGAAAATGCTGTACAAATGGATCATTAAATCAATTAATTAAAATATCATTAGCTGTAGCTAAACATTAGCACTTCTAGCATATTTTAGCATAAAGCCCAGTTTATGCTTCTCCATCTGCAGAGGTGTGGAGACTCGCAACGCCATTATCCGTGGTTGCAAGAGCTCTCCAACAGGCTAGCAAGTACGGATTTGAGCCCAATTTTCTAACCATCTGTCGAAAGCAACGGAGATCGCTAGTTTGTGATTGGTCAGGATGCTGCTTCCTTTAACTTCATCAAAGATAATGAGAGCTGACGATATCTAGCGGCAAACACTGAGCAGATCGAAGAACATCTCGTGGAAAAAGTCAGACGATATAAATGTTAATACAACCGTGACTGAAGGACTACAAAGTAGTGATGCACCGATATGAATTTTTGGGGGCCGATATCGATATCCGATATTAAGATCACTGTTACGGTCGATAACCGATATTTGCCGATACAGGTATACTGACATTAATGCTTCTAAAATCAGCAGATTTTGTATAGAATGAAAATTATTAAAGCTGAATTTACGTTATTATGAATTACAGGCTGTAAACATGTTTATTTCTGCTGTGAAATTGTTTTTTTTTAACATGGGAGTCAATGAGGATTTGCTCGCTTCTGACACCAGCCCCTAGTGGATGAGGGTGGAACTGCAATTTTTTCACTTCTGTGTTGGCGTCAATTTCATACCAGTATTATGGGGGCTTGGTTGAGAGACACATTTTTCATGTTAAAAAGGGTTTTGTTGCCAGATGTGAGAAATCACAACATATGTAAATTGCTGCGGTACTTAGTGCAAAAAAACCAAAGAAATAAGCAAAAATGAGAAATAAGCACAATAAAATAATAATATAGAGAGGCAAGAGAAACCGGCTAACATGTACAAGACAGTGCAGGTCTCTGAAATGTAAAAGCACAATAATAAATACACTAGAGACATGAGTGCAATGATGGCAGGAAACCCCAGAAACGCACTACGCCCTCTTGTGTTCTGGCAGAGAATTACTTCACAACACTCACCAACGTAGAAGCGCAAAAGGAAAATGTCGTTATCAATAAGGCAGCTTGATTTAGAGCTGCTTGAACATGTGGTGGTTGCATCCTTTTGTAAAAAGTAAAACAATAGTAAAAAGTGAACAAATAAACGTGATAAATTTGTAGTTTTACGGTAAAGCAGATCATGATACCACATTTTTGCCACGTTGTCAGAGCTTCACCGTGTGTTTTTACTCTGCAGTATGGGATTGTCCTGGATGCTGGATCTTCACACACAGATTTGTATATTTATAAGTGGCCTGCAGACAAACAAAATGGCACAGGTGTGGTCACCCAGCACAGCGAGTGCCACGTAAAAGGTAAGTAGCAACACGCTCTACACTAAAGCCACTGTTTTTGCATGTCAAATACTCGTGTCCTCCAGTAAAACAAGCTCTAACAGCAGCCAGCGTTCTGTGTATCTGAAATGTTTTGTTGTGCCTTTATTCTTCGGTTATGGCCCCAGATCCACAAAGCAAACGGCCCTGGGATGAACACATTAATGTAAAGTACCACACTGGAGCAAATAACACTCGTCAGTGTGTGATGAGTTTACAGACTGAGGATGGACACATCAGAGACAGAAGTAGCAGGGCACTAGAGGTCCTCGTGGATGAAACTATTAAAGTAAGGATGACTGAGATCCTCCGAGATCTGGAGAGTTTCGGTCGATAAAGAGATGGTGAAACCTGTTTTTATTCAAACTTCTGTCCTTGCTCTGTTGGCTCCATGAATGGCCTTTATTTGTGTGTGTGTGTGTGTGTGTGTGTGTGTGTGTGTGTGTGTGTGTGTGTGTGTGTGTGTGTGTGTGTGTGTGTGTGTGTGTGTGTGTGTGTGTGTGTGTGTGTGTGTGTGTGTGTGTGTGTGTGTGTGTGTGTGTGTGTGTGTGTGTGTGTGTGTGTGTGTGTGTGTGTGTGTGTGTGTGTTCTCCATCCCCAGTGAGTCGTGGAGGATGGCTGCTTATACTGAGCCAGGATTCTCTGGAGGTTTCTTCCTGTTAAAAGGGAGTTTTCCTCTCCACTTTCGCTACATGCTTGCTTAGCATGAGGATTGCATCAAGTCACTGACACTAGTCAGTGACTTGATGCGACCTGCGGGGTTCCTTATATAGGAAACATTATTTCTGATGGGCTTAATGAACTGACCTGTGTTGGAATGTTTATTATGTGAAGTGTCTTGAGACGACTCTTGTCGTTATTTGGCGCTTTATAAATAAACTTGAATTCAATTGAATTGAATTGAATTCTAGGGTTCTACAACCCCCCAAGGCACTTCACAACACAATCAGTCATTCATCCATTCATACACTGATGGTGATGAGCTACGATGTAGCCACAGCTGCCCTGGGGCGCACTGACAGAGGCGAGGCTGCCGAGCACAGGCGCTACCGGTCCCTCCGACCACCACCAGCAGGCAAGGTGGGTTAAGTGTCTTGCCCAAGGGCACGACAGCAGCTTTCCCTGGTGATCGATCCTACAACCCTATGATCATTGGATAACCTGCTCTACCTCCTGAGCTCCTGTTGTCCATGAAAAATAATCCGTTTAGCCTCAAGAAGACAATCCATTAAACTTTGTAAAGCACAAACATCTAGAAACCTTCCTACAAATAAAAATGTTCTATTTCTCCTACTCCTTTCCATTTAATTAAAGCTGCTGTAGCAAATTTTGACAACAAGCTAGCTTAAAAAATGTCATGCCACTTAACCCTTTAAGCGCCAAAGTCACAATACTGTGACAAGGGTCATCGCTTCAAGCCACAGCTTCAAATATGATCCCTCCTGCAGTTACTACTTAACACCAGAAGATAGAGGAGATGTGTCACTTTAGGCCTAGCAACACTCATGGGTGTGTTTATATTGAATGTTTCTGAGTTTTTGGAGTTTGAAAACCACCTCCCGCCGAGAGGCCACCGGTCAGGGAGAGGAGGAGGTGAGCGCAGCACAAAGATGGCGAATATTAGAGGGATAAAACTTACAATTGCCAGCAGGTCTGGTCTTTGTTGACCGGTCTCTTTGTCTGGTAATGACCGACTCCGATTATGAAGCAGATTATTGACTCTGATGATGAAATTCACCCATCCAGCCAGAAAGGTTGACGCTGACGCAGCGCGTAGCATCAGGAACATCCAAGCTCCAAACGTTGAGTTTACGTTTGTTTCACTGTCTTTGGAACATGATGGATGTAGAAATGATGGTAAAAAAAAGGCCATGAAAAGCAGCAGATGCATTAGATATGGAAGTTAAAGTGTGCCACATAATCATAAAAATGAAATAATAAATTCAAATAAAAAATGAGCTTTCTATAAGTACATATAAATTTAATATTCTAAATATAATGGAAATTTCAAAGTAATATGTAAAAATATGATGGATCATCTGGAAAATGATGCATTACAATATGGCAGCATGATGATGTCATAATGCGCAAATTAGATGAGTGAATTTGCTCCTTAACATAAACTTTGGGTCCTACTGAAGATTTGACTCGTACACCGTTTACCGTTATCTCCAACCATTTCCAAGCTACAACCTTTTGAAGGAGTCGTGTCAAAATAGAATATTTTCTTGAAAAACTCTGGCGCCCAAATGTTTAACAACGTTCTAACGTAGTGTAGGAATAACTGTTGCAATGGGTGTGGTTACTGACTGACGCGCAGAAGAAATAGTTCTTTATGGAGCCTAGATGGTGTGAATGACGAGACCAAAGACTGCAGTGTCTTGTGCCAAAAATATATTGAATAAATGCACAAATACAAACACAATAGTTAATATAACATACACATAAATAAATGCCCAGAACTGAAAATAAACCAATGTAATCTTTCAGTGCAAGAGCCCTTTTAGTTAAGAGTCCTTTTGGTCCTTTGCCAAAGTTTCCTTTTTTTTTTTCTTTTTTTTTCTTAAGGTTCACTTTTAAGGTATTCCTCCTTAGGGTCCAGCTTCATACAATGGGGAAAAAACACAAAGAATGGTCCTAACCAGCTCGCCACTTCAATATGAAGAAGATCGGTTCAACAAGGGGGGAAAAAACCTGACCTGTAGGCCAGAGAAACGTTCATTATCACACCAAGTTCGATTCAGTTTACCGGTAAACATATCACGAATGCACAACAGGTCAATTATTAATCATCTATGTAGCCACAGCAGGAAGTATTCCTCCACAGCCGGCTTTCATGGTTGCCGCGACGTGGAAGGAGCCAATCAGGAGAGGGACCTCACATCAGCTGACGTGGGTCATGTGACAGGGAGTAGTTGATATGGGTTACATCTCCTTTGATTGGCTAACAGTAACACAACTACCACTGACTTTGCTCTGCAACATTGATGCTTTATCTCCACTAATAACACAAGCTGGAGGAGTTCTGCTGTGTGGTGGAGTTGCTAATGCCAACGGTTAGCTTCTACTACATCTTAGGTGTGTTCTTGCTGTGTCTTTCTAAATCCATTCTTTCGTTCTTTTTTAAACACAGAAACTGTTTTGTTTACCTGTTTGTAGCTACAGTTTCGCCGACGGCTGCCGGCTTCTTCAGGCTGACGCTGATGGTGGCGTCACTTCCTTCTCCGTTTATCCGCGGGCAGCAGAGGACGTTGTCGCCCTCTACTGCCCGCTCTCCCCTCTCCGACGATGCAGTCCCATGCGTGGTCCAATGTGTAAACTCCGTCGTCCCTGTTCATGGTCCCACATCCACGTCTCCTTATCTCTATTGCTTCCTTGATCCATCTTTTGTATTTTTGTTGTTCGGTGGTTATGATCCGTGTGCTGTCCCAGTCCATTATATGGTTTTCTCTTGTGCAGTGATCTGTTACGGCTGACTTTTTTATTGTACTTTCTGCTTCTTCTTTTGCTGCTCTTGTGTGTTTACGATTTGCCTCTTTCTCGCACTCCTTTCTGTGTTCTATTGTCCGTGTATTGAGTTGGCGTCCGGTTTCTCCTATGTATGTTTTATTGCATATTTTGCATGGGATTTCGTAGATGACTCCACATTTTTGTCCAGCTGATATTTTGTCTTTTGGGTGTACTAGTCTGTTCCTAACGCCGCCCCTGGGTGTAGGAGACTGATTTCATGTTCAGCCTGCATGAAAACCAATTATAATCAGAAATGCGGGTTTCGAGTTCCAGCATTAGCGTCTCAGAGAAGATAGCTGAGAGGAGGGGTGGGTGATCCAAGACTCTGTTTGCGTTCAAAAGCTAGCTTGTTTGCAGAGTCGCTATTGCAGCTCTAATTTAATTATGAAAGCACGGGAGAGCTGCCGACTGCTGCCTCTGAACACCTCTGGTTTGTGCCTCTGAGTCAAAATGAACATTCATTAAAGGTTAAAAAATCCTTCCTTTTTAGTCCAAAGGAAGAACTGACTCTGTTCTGATTATGGAATTGCAAGAGTTTGATCAACTTTGAGTATAAAAACGGTTTTCATAGAAAATAAAACATAATCTGGTTTACATGGATTCTAATGTGTGGATTTCCATGCAGGCTGTTGGCTGCGCAGCTGGAATTTCTGGTTTTTTGACTGCTTTGCACCTTGACATGAATTGATGTAGTGTTTACGAAGGTGACAACCTGTTGTGGAAACAGGATTCAACAGGTCGATTATGAAATGGATGCTATTATTTTGTTATTGCTGACTCAGGTGGAGGAATTTCCAGCTATGTGGGCCAAAAGGGGGCCGCGGGGAGAAGTTTGGACGCATGTCTGGACCAGGCTGTGAGGGATATTCCTAAAGAAAGGCACCTGAACACACCTGTGTACCTGGGAGCCACGGCCGGCATGAGGATTTTACAGTGAGTCATCGTCTGTGTTTGTGTTACAAACTGTCTGACTTCATTATTGACAGTCTGCTGTTATTTTAATCTAATCCACAACAATACAAACTGATTAGATTTGCTAATGTGAGACATTTGTGGGAGATTAGTCTCGTTGCAGTGGGTGAAGTAGACGCCGATGTAGATGAAGGAAATGTCAGAAGAATAAATGCAAACAGTGACCGATGAAATCTGAGGCGACTCAGTTAGGTTCTGATAGAAGTCGGTAAATATCCAACAGGAAGTAGCTATCTGAGTCATCAATCAAATAATCAAATGATATGCATGAATATACAGGTCCTTCTAAAATAATTAGCATGTTGTGATAAAGTTCATTATTGTCTGTAATTTACTGATAAACATTAGACTTTCATATATATTAGATTCATTACACACAGCTGAAGTAGTTCAAGCCTTTTATTGTTTCTAATATTGATGATTGTGGCGTACAGCTCATGAAAACCCAAAATTCCTATCTCAAATATTAGCATATTTCATCCAACCAGTAAGAGAAAAGTGTTTTTAATACAAAAAAAGTCAACCTTCAAATAATTATGTTCAGTTATGCACCCAATACTTGGTCGGGAATCCTTTTGCAGAAATGACTGCTTCAGTGCGGCGTGGCATGGAGGCGATCAGCCTGTGGCACTGCTGAGGTGTTATGGAGGCCCAGGATGCTTCGATAGCGGCCTTAAGCTCATCCAGAGTGTTGGGTCTGGCGTCTCTCAACGTTCTCTTCACAATATCCCACAGGTTCTCTACGGGGTTCAGGTCAGGAGAGTTGGCAGGCCAGTTGAGCACAGTAATACCATGGTCAGTAAACCATTCCATTCACCAGTGGTTTTGGCACTGTGAGCAGGTGCCAGGTCGTGCTGAAAAATGAAATCTTCATCTCCATAAAGCTTTTCAGCAGATGGAAGCATGAAGTGCTCCAAAATCTCCTGATAGCTAGCTGCATTGGCCCTGCCCTTGATAAAACACAGTGGACCAACACCAGCAGCTGACATGGCGCCCCAGACCATCACTGACTGTGGGTACTTGACACTGGACTTCAGGCATGTTGGCATTTCCCTCTGCCCAGTCTTCCTCCAGACTCTGGCACCTTGATTTCCGAATGACGTGCAAAATTTGTTTTCATCTGAAAGAAGTACTTTGGACCACTGAGCAACAGTCCAGTGCTGCTTATCTGTAGCCCAGGTCAGGCGCTTCTGCCGCTGTTTCTGGTTCACAAGTGGCTTGACCTGGGGAATGTGGCACCTGTAGCCCATTTCCTGCACACGCCTGTACACGGTGGCTCTGGATGTCTCTACTCCAGACTCAGTCCACTGCTTCCGCAGGTCCCCTAAGGTCTGGAATCGGTCCTTCTCCACAATCTTCCTCAGGGTCCGGTCACCTCTTCTCGTAGTGCAGCGTTTTCTGCCACACTTGTTCCTTCCCACAGACTTCCCACTGAGGTGCCTTGATACAGCACTCTGGGAACAGCCTATTAGTTCAGAAATGTCTTTCTGTGTCTTACCCTCTTGCTTGAGGGTGTCAATGATGGCCTTCTGGACAGCAGTCAGGTCGGCAGTCTTACCCATGATTGCGGTTTTGAGTAATGAACCAGGCTGGGAGGTTTTAAAAGCCTCAGGAATCTTTTGCAGGTGTTTAGAGTTAATTAGTTGATTCAGATGATTAGGTTAATAGCTCGTTTAGAGAACCTTTTCTTGATATGCTAATTTTGTGAGAAGGACCTGTACATAAATCTGATTTACAAGTGTAAAATAAACATAAGAGCATCAGTTTCTGATGAGAAAACATCATCCAGGTTTCAACGTTTTATAGAAATGGCAAGAACAGATTGATGTCAGGTAGCGGTGAATAAAACTTATGAAACCAGCGACTGATGTCACTAAAGTCGATATTTATTAACACAAATATGTATATTCAAAAAAGCAATGCAAAAGTGTGTCAGTGAAATAATCATGTTGGAAGGAAGGTCTATTGGAACAGATTTCATTCTCAGCCAGGGAGGGGGTGGGGGGGTGGGTGGGTCAGTTTTCATAAAACCAAAAGATGGACGTAGTTGCCGTAAACAATCTGTGGCTTTGATGTTTTGTTTAAATCAGATCTTCTAGCCGGGAGAAATGCAGAAATGTTCAATAATTCGGTGTTTCTTCCTGGCGGTCCAACTTAATTTTTAAATTTCTGTTTTTAAAGGATTTCCGACCCTCAGCAATCAGATCAGATTCTTGAGGAAGTGGGCCAGAAAATCCAGTCGTACCCGTTTAACTACCAGGGAGCCGCCATATTGAGCGGACAGGAAGAAGGAGCGTACGGTTGGGTCACCGTCAACTATGTGTTGGAGAACTTCATCAAGGTGACCATGTTTGACTCTTAAACCTAGTTAATAATTCTCCATCTGTGGGGTGGCGGAGACACACAGCGCCACTAATGTCAGCGCTCTGCGGCGGGCCTGCAGAGCGTGACCGAGACGTGCCCAATTTTTTAAACGTTCATCAAAGTCCAACGATGTGAAAAGATGTGCAGCAGATTTTTAAATGTGGAAGGAAACTACGGGACATCGGGGTTGGAGATGTCGACTGCGTTAAAACCTATAAAATAAATGTCGGACCAAAGATACGGCTGCAGTGGTGACGGAACCCCGGAAAAGCGCTACAGCCTTAGTTGTCCTGGTGAGGAATTGCTTTGCAACTCTTCCCAGTGTAACGTGAGGAAGTATGGGTTTCCGTGCCAAAAGTCGTATTTGCCCGGCTGGGTCAAAGCTGGGTCACGCAGCACCTTCACCCACAGATTAAGACCTAAGCGCCACCACCAGGCAACGGAGAAGTGTGACAAGAAAACGTCGTCGGTCCAAACTAGGGCTGGGCAATAAATCGAAAATGTATCGTTATCAACATTTCTGACTCTTATCTGGATAATTTTTCCCATGTCAGTAAATTAGATAATAAAAAATGAAAAGATGTGTAGGTTGGCAACGTTCCATGTCCCTTTAAGAAGCTGCACCACCTTGAGTCACGTAAAAATGTGACTCAAGGTAATACATGCGACAGCCCCATCTAGTGGACAACTTTAGTTTCAGCGCACACCTGTAGTTCTCGTCCATTTATCGTTATCGAGGTGAAATCCTCAATATATCGTGATACTGATTTTAGGCCATAACGCCAAACGTCTCCGCACCCCCGCGGCTGACCGTAAACGAGGCTTCAGGATAGGCTGTTTTCGTCCAGCTTAATCTGTGGAACATTCATTCTTTCCTATTTAAATAATGACATTTTTAGTTTTTATTTCTAAATCAGATCAAATCACGTCTTGTTTTTTTTTTTTTCATGTTTTCCATTTTGGATCAAACTTGCAAAATGAAAAAAGTGGTTTACTGGGACAGGCTTCGTGCTGATCAGTCTCTAGTAGATGGAGGGTTAGGGTTATAAAAGGGAGGATGTGTTCGTTGAGCCGTAACGTGAATATCCTCCTACTAGAGAAACTGTTGAAATCATCATGTGGGATAAACGTGGTGTTTTTGTTGTCACCCACAAACCGAACGAAAAAGTAACGACACTCATCTTTATCTTTTCAAAGTAAAATGTAATTCTATCCACATAAAGGGATACTATGCAACTGTCCATGATTTTAAATAATTCTCTCGAGACAGAATGTGTTAAAGTGACCCTTTACAGGATTAATGAAATGTCACTCCGATCCCCACCGCCCCCTCTGACCAGAATATCGCACTTGCAACTTCAGAGTTGCCGTCCGGTCCCTGCTGGTGGGGAAAGCTGACATGGTGGAGCTGAAGTGTGCTTCATGTTTCCTGCATGTTTTAGGTGGTAAGCACAGCTGATTTGTTTGATTTAGTGAGGAATCGCTCCTGTAGACACTAACGAAGGCTGAGGAGACATATCAGCAGCTAAAAGATGAACGCGCAGCGAGGAGATAAGTTTCGTTTTCGGTTAAATCACAGAGATTAACAGACACATGGGGGTGCTAAAAGCAAGCAAAACTGCAAAGTGTTCCTTTAACTCATTCACTGCCAGCGTTTTTCGCCGTTTTTACTGTTTTTTAAGAGTGACAGAACGTTGCGTGCTAGGATGATGTTGACGCCAAAACAACCAAAACAAAGTGGAGACTCACCTCTTACATCAGGAAGAATCCGCGCGTTTCGAGCGTTATCCGTTCTTTCATAATCCGTTGTTGAATTGTGATCGGTAGAAGCTTTCCTGGTTCTCGTCTCACTTTTTTTACAGCAGCGGCCCAAAACGATCTCCTAACACATGGATGATCTGCTTCCTGATAACGTGACGTGTGACGTATGCAGATGAAGAGCGTCTTTAGAGCTGGGATGTTTGTTCTCACGGTGCGGGGGCTCGTCCGACGCCCACACAGTAAAAAAAAATGCAAATGACGACTTTAATCGTCACTGGCAGTGAACGAGTTAAACTGTGAAATCAGGGTGCAGCTGCCTGAATCGGTGCGCGCTCACGACGCAGGGACACGCGTTTTTTAGGGAAAACTGTCGCGACACCTGTCCCCGTAAACCCAAGCAGCTGATTATTAAAATCTAATTTTCTCATGACACATTTTTTGTCAGGGACTAAAATTATTTATTTTTTATTATTTTTTTCCAATCCAATTCAAACACAAAGAAAAAATAAATAAAACAACCAATTCTTTTATTTTTGGGTTTTCAATTGAACGTGGAAAGAACGAACGACACACAGATTCAGCTGAACAAGGATGAAGTCGACGTTGTAGCTAAAACGCATCACCAGAGCAACGCATGGATCCTGTTTTTGCAGTACAGTTTCATGGGACGCTGGCTCAGTCCCGGCAGGCCCACGGTGGGAGCGCTGGACTTTGGCGGAGCGTCCACCCAGATCACATTTGCCACCCAGCAGCTGGTGGAGGACGGACAGAGCACGAAAAAGCTGCGTCTTTATGGCCAGGACTACTCTCTGTACACCCACAGCTTCCTGTGCTACGGCAAGGACCAGTTTCTCAAGGCGCTGTTGGCTCATGTTGTGAAGGTAATTATCCAGTTATCCGCCCCGCTGAAAGCAGAACTGTCGGGATGTAGACGAGTTCTGGTATTAAAATGGTGCAGGGTAACAGAAAAGGTTCTGTGTTGGTGTTGGATGCAGGCCACAAGATGAACCACGGAGGGACGTCCAAAGGTGTGTTTTTGTCTCAGATTGGGACCAAATTCAGGCTCTCCTTTATGTTTTCTATTTTATAATAATCCACACTGGCATGAAAAAAGAACACAGATAAAAATGACCGCAGCATTTATTCATCATGGTCCCGCCAGCCTATGTAGTTTGGTAAAAACAGAATAAAATTACAGCCTAAAACGGTTCCCTGTGTACTTTGCAAGTCTTTAACTTTGTGCATGTTTTTGCTGCAGAATCTAAACAAGCTGCATGAAAGTAAATAAAATCCCATCATGACTAAAATTTCATTTACCATCAAGTCCTATTGGATCATCCAAACTTCAAACTGAGTGCAAGGGGGTGTGTATAGCACCCTCTGGTGGACAGTGGGGGTATTGTGGGCCTCATGACCGGGGGGACTTTTACATCAGCGTTAGCATCGTTGTGGTTCTTGTAGTAAATCTGATAGTTTCTGACTAAACGAGTGTGTCAGCTCTCTCTGTCTGTGTCTTCCAGTCTCAGCTCTACTCTCAGGCCGTCACTCATCCCTGCTATCCAGCAGACTACAGCAAGACGTTGAAAATGGGCAAATTGTTCAACTCGCCATGCGTACTGCAGCATAAACCCGTCCCCTTTAACCCTGAGGTTATTTTAACGGTACGAGGTGGCGGGAACTACGAGTACTGTGTGGGAAACGTGTCGGGGATCTTCTCCTTCGGCAGCTGCGCCCACTCTCGGTGCTCGTTCAACGGCGTTTTCCAGCCAGAAATCACCGGACGCTTCATGGTGAGAAAACTGTTAAGGCAGCACACTGGATGCATGAAATTTATTAGATAATATCAACGTTCCTACTCTACCTGGACACAAAAATGAAATATCAGTGATTGTAATTACCAATCAGCTGGCTGTTGTAGAAACTGCCCCTGAAAATGTGTGAAAATCAAACTCAGACACTGATCAGCACATTTGATAGTTTTACTATCAGATGCATCTCACTTTGTTCAGCATGTTTATCCCTAATAAACGTAGCTTCCTGCGCTTAAAGGGACATTATGGAAGTGTGACAGCCAAAACATGTATAGAAATAATAAATGTCTTCTTCATACGTTCTCCTGCAATGCCCTGGTCCTGTAGAATGAGCCCTGGCATTTTTACTGTGATTGCCTGTTTTTCTGTAAAATCACAGAAAAAGAGAGATGCTCGGGTCGAGCAGGCTGCTTCATGCGCGTTCACGCTCAGGCATCGCCCGTAGCATTTGCTATGCGTAGCTTTAGCAGCAGAGAGAGAGGCAGTGCCACTTTGTCGCTGTTCCTAACGCCTAGTGACAAAGCTAGCTACATTTCTGAGGACCCTTAGCTACTTTCTGTAGAACTTTCTTCTAGATATTTCCTGCTAATTAGCAACAAAATAGCCATTTTCACTCCCAACCGTTCTTTGGTTTGACGTTGTTTCAGCTGTCATCAAGGATATAAATGTTACAGATACAAAAGACATCATTGGTACTTTAACTCACCTTGTAAGATGTCTGACTGTCATGCAGAAGACCTGGGTTTGATTCTGGGTGTGAACATAGTTCATTTAGAGTTTCTCTTTTACATTAATGGTATATTTTTTTTACAGTAAGATGCCCAAATTTTTATTTGAGACTCGCCGAACGGCATTGAATTCACAGATAAAAAAGATGTGGGTTCAACTTTCATTTTGGAACAATTTTTCAAGCAAGGGAAGGGAATGATCTGAGCATGCAGGAGGACTGACCCATCATAAACCTTTGTCGGCTGTGCTGAAGAGAAAGGTACAGAACCACATTATTTAATTAATAAGCTGCACGTTCTCCTGTCCTCCGTCCTCCGGGCCACACACACACACACACACACACACACACACACACACACACACACACACACACACACACACACACACACACACACACACACACACACACATGGGACTGTCTCAGCTGTTATTTTCGTTAAGGAGTGTGCACGTACAGCATGCACGAGCCTCCTATTGAAGCTGCTGATACGCTTTTGGCCTGAGGGGGCGATCACGAGCATAAAAATTCAAAAGTCCGTGAAGTCCCTTTAAGTGGTGTTTAACCGAGACGTTTACAGATAATCGGATTTTGTTTGCTGTTTATTTCCAGGCGTTTTCTGCGTTTTTCTACATTCACACCTTCCTGCAGCAAATCACCGGGATCACCGTGAACTCTCCTCAACAGCTGGAGGACGCAGCCAAAACTGTCTGCAGCAAGACGTTCAGCCAAGTGCGTGTTGCCGTTATTTATGAATAACCGCTCATTCCCCATTTCAGACGTGATACGGGCTGAGAGCATCCTTTTAGGCTTTGAACTGTAAAAGAGTAAACGTGTTCTGTTTCTTGGTTTCAGATGATGCTTCTGGCTCCAAAAGAAGAGTCTCGTATTCAGGACTACTGCGCCTCCTCTGTCTTTATGCGGACTCTTATTTTAAAAGGATACGGCTTCGATAACTCGTCCTTCCCGCTCATTTCCTTCCAAAAGAAGGTAATCACCTCACAAGAAAGACCTGTAAACCTCCGGGTGATTTGTAAATATAATTGGGCAAAGAAGTATTTGGCAGCAAGTTGTTCCACTTGACATGCTTTTTACACAACCGTTTACGGTCTGGGATCATCGGTGTTCGTGCGATTCAACCAGTCATTCTTCCTTTCCCAAACACGGTGCGTGGCGTTTATACCAAAGAGTTCTATCATGACACGACTTTCTCCCAGTCCTCCTCTAGGTCATCCAGGTGATCTCTGGAAAGTTTTAGACAGGCCTGGACATGTGCTAGCTTAAGCAGAGGGACTGTAAGATTTAGATCCATTACGACGGAGTGTGTTACTAATATTGCCCTTACACACTAGCATCAGCTCCACTCCGCCTGGACTGGGTGGGGAGTGTGCTCTTTTAGGTAGCCCTGCATTTTCCTGCGCAACCGCAAGTCTTTTCAGCCTTCTCCTTGATAAAGGTGTGCCTGGAGCCGAACAGGGCGGACACGCCTACTGCTGACTGATTGGCTGGCTCACAGGGACGCCTACCATTAGAGGTAGGCGTCCTTTTTTTAAGGTTCTTCTAATGGTTTTTAAGTGTCTTAATGGTCTTGGGCCTTCTTATCTATCAGAACTGTTTTTACCATATGAACCCTCACAGCGTCTGCGCTCCTCTGGCAGGCGTCTCCTGGTCATCCCTAAAGTCAGGACACACACTCACGGCGAGGCATCCTTCCAGTATTACGGCGTTCGCCTCTGGAACGAGCTGCCAGAGGACCTCAGGGCCGCAGAGAACGTTCATGTTTTTAAGTCCAGGCTGAAGACCCATATTTTTAGGTTAGCTTTTATCTAAATATTTACTATAGTTTTATTTCTCGTTTTACATTATATTTTATTACTGGCCTTGCATGTTCTATATGATTATATTTGAGCACAATTTCATTATTTAATAATATTACAATTTTACTGTCCATATGAATTTATTATTTATTTTCTTCCTTTTGTCATTTATATTAGCTCTTTTTTTTCATATTTTTACTCATTTTAATCCAGTGTTTCCTCTGTAGGAGCCCTCTGCCCCGGGAGCGGGGGTCGACTGTAGCTTCCTGGGCGCTCTACAGGTAGAGTTTAAGTAGAGGTGGGGGTCTATGCTCCCCCTCCTCTGAGCGCCCTGACTTAGTGTGGAAGACCTGATGCTGCCGGGGCAGACGGCTCCTCTGATGGCGTTTCCTTGCCTTACCTTACTTGGCTCATCTGGACTCGGCCAAATATAATTTTTACGTGTGTGTGTGTGTGTGTGTGTGTGTGTGTGTGTGTGTGTGTGTGTGTGTGTGAATGTTTTCAAACTGTTATGGGAATTTGGGGTCATTTTAATTCTGTGAAGCACTTTGCTAGAAAAGTGTTTTATAAATTAAATCTGATCTGATCGATAGCCTCTGATTGGTGGATAGAATCAGCCCGCGGGGGCTTCCCGCATGCACAATTCCTTATCATACTAGATGCTGTTGAGTTAACAAGCCTCTGACTGAGGCCGGTTTTCTCTGTCCCTCACTGCTGTGAGGAGACACACACACACACACACACACACACACACACACACACATTGCTGCCAGACTCAGCAAAGCAGGATTTATTAGAAAGCTGCTTACACATTAGTGTCGGTATGGTCGGCGGAGGATAGCATCAGTTCGGTCTCGGATGGACGGTAGTGTTCATATATAAATCCGAAGGACTTCTCAGGAATGCGGAAATCCCCGAGCCCGTGGGCGGCATTTAACATGCGCGGGAAAGTCTGCAGCGTCCTCCATAATAAGATAAACAAAGGCAAGCATGAGCTGTGTTGCTTTTAGAGACTCTGGGCCACATTATTTTATTGTTCTCGTCCTCCGCTGCTACGGGCCCACACACACACACACACACACACACACTCACACACACACACACACTGCATTCTCCACTGAGCAGCCGTCTGTTCAGAGGACAGGGACACACACGCTCTCTCTTCTCCCGTTCCCACTGAGCGGCAGCTCCGTGCTGCAAACACAGAAGTTTACTTAGCATCTAGCATGAAAAAGAGTCATGCGTGTGGACCCCCCCCCCCCCCCCCCCGCTGGCTGATTCTACTCACCCAGCCAGTCTAGTTCGTAGTGGCACCTCCGTCCCAGTCGGACCGCTGGGGAGGAAGTCTGAAAAAAAGAGTCTCCTCAGACTGGAAAGCACGTATCTGACCCGTGTGGAACCAAATTCCCGTCCCGTATTCGACCACTAGTGTGTAAGCGGCATAAGAGAGTCTCCAAAAGCAAGACTGCTCAGGTCGCTTTTGCTTAATAATAGAGACACCGCAGATTTCTTTGCGCTCTTTTGCCCCGCCCACGTGCTTGGAAATGTGCTCATGACATCACAGGCCACAGAGCGCCCATGTGCTTAACCACGTCCACATTCCTGAGGCGGTGTGGAACCAGACTGGGGCGGGCAGAAGCGAGCCGATGCTAGTGAGAAAGTGGCATTAGTAACCTTTGTTACTGGAGCAACAGCTCTTCTCAGGTCAGGACCAGCAGTTCTGGGCTATTTCCTCACCATTCTCAAGATCATTTGTACCTCATGAGGTGAGATCTTGCATGGAGCCCCAGGTCAAGAGATGTGGTCAGTGAGCTTTCGTTTTCTGGTTATTGTGCCAACCATTGATCTGTTCTCGCCCAGCTGCTCGCCTGTCGTAAACCGGCTCATCCCTGTCTTGTGCAAGTGTACGTTCGTGCCCCCCTTAGACAGCTCGCTGGTCTTGGCCATGGAGGAGGTCAAAGTCTGTTTGGGGAGGGGACAGGTGTTTATTTCCACGGATAACAAGTTCAAACAGATGTCATTAACACAGGTAAAGAGTTTAGAAGTGCTTCGTAGAGAAGTAACAGGTTCATGAGGCCAGAACTCATGCTTGTTTGTAGAATGAGATTTCCTGGATTTCTGTGGCTCATAGTTCAAATGTACTCATGATGAAAATTACAGAGCTCATCTTTTTCAGTTGGACAACTTCATGATCGGTAGCTGCCAAGTACTTTTTGCCCTGCAGTATGCTGAAAATATTTAAATAAATTGGTGTCATTGCTGCTTCTCCCGCAGGCTGGAGACACGTCGGTGGGTTGGGCTCTGGGTTACATGCTGAGTTTGAGCAACTTGCTGCCTGCTGAAAGTGTTGCTGTGAGAAAAGCTCTGACCCTTGGAGCATGGGGAACGCTCGTCTTCCTCACTGTAGTGCTCCTCGTGGTCATCCTAGCCTTCCTGTTGCTTCGAAGTCGATGTGGCACAACGAAAAGGCGTGACGAAAGCGCCATTTAGAAACGACAACGCCGCTGGACTGCTTCGCTTCACTGCTGTAACCCTAACCCGTTTATTTTAAATTATTCCAGCTCAACAGCTGAATTTACCTTTTAGAGCTTTTGAGATTTTCAGTTTTATTGTAACACATTAGCTCTTTCCAGTCCATGAACGTTTGTCCAAAATGTTAAAATTAATTAGATTTTTACTGACCTTTATACAAGGATGTCTGGAAAGATAACAAGAATTTGTCTGTGATTTAATTCATGTAGAGATGAGAAGCCTCTAATCAAATAGGATAGAAATGAAATTAACTCCAAATGCTGTTTTTTTAGCCCACAGTGCTGACAGACAGAGCAAACAACAACATAACCCACTCACCCGGGGTGCTGTCTTCAATATAAATCACACCATGAAAGAAATATTTAATTTTTTGGTCTTAGATTGTGTAAACTTTTCTGTATTAGGTTTTAAAAACATTTTATAGGTGATTTCATCCGTACTTTAGCATTTATCTTAAAACATAAAAAATTTTAAATTAAGATTTTATAGTGAGCTGGTGCTTTTATTTTATAAACACACAGTAAGTCCTTCTAAACTAACTGACACATTGAAGAGTACATCTTCACCAACAGATATTTTTGGGTTTGTTTGTATTTTTATGCATTCTGGGAGAAAGCATTTGACTTGAAGCATAATAAAATTGTTTTAAATTAAAGCCGATCACATGTTTGATGCACAAAGTCTGCAAACGTAACATTTACCAAATATAGGTAATCACATGTTGTCTCTGGGACATATCTTCTGTTCTTTGTTTAATATGAAATGTGTTTTTCCCCAAAACAGTGTGACATAATATATAGTATTGCATTAAATTGTAAATAAATGTCATGTTGTAGTGGATGACTCAACATATTAATGTATATTCCAACTCATTCTGTACAAAAATAACCCAAAAAGGTCAGATTTTGTCTTTAAGGTTTTTGCCTTAATTTTTTTGTGATGACTCCAATAGTGAGATTTGGGATAATGTGTGTTAAATAAAATATTCAGGTTTTGACTGTATGATGTTTGAAACGTTTTAAATTAAATGTGTTTAAAAGGCTTACCCTTCCAGATGAATATTTATGTTTTCTGATGTATCAATATTTGTATACTTGTTTAGACAAAAAAGTTAACAGTTTAATTCGGCCATGTTTCTGGAGGCATCTAAATGAACATGTTTCAAATCGGACTACAACTACCAGAATGCCTCTCTGTTCTAAACATGCTTCCGCTAAAACCTGTTGCCTTCAAAATAAAGCAAAAATATTTTTTATTTTAAAATCTGTAAATTTGAACAAGAAATAAAATGTCGTCGCGCAATACTAGACTGAACTTAAGCCAATAATATATAAGATAGATGAACACGTCAACAATTCAATGAAAAATGTATAAAAATTATATTGTCAATTGCTGATTTTGTTTTATTTTGAAGGCCAAATTTGAATTCGCCTGTATATTTATGTCGGTGGTACAGACATGGCGTCGCTGAATGACAGTAGGCTAGCCGATTTCTGATCCTTATATATTCCTTGTTGATAATACGCGTTTAATTTTTTCGTATTAAAAATGTTCCTCGTGTATTTATAACACAAAGAAGCCTGCGCTCCACGAGAAGCAACACGGAGTTTAGTGAGAAACTCCGGGCTGCGGTTTGCTTGTTGGCGTGTTGAGAAGTTTAGAGATGTGCACCCAGACGAGAGCTGCGGCTCTCATGGCCAACATCCCGCTGGCGGACATCGACCCGTCCGGAGTGTTCAAGTACGTCCTGATCCGAGTTCACAGCCGAGAAGAGGGGGACGAGTCGGAGGTGGATATAGTCCGCGGTTACGGCTGGGCAGAGTACCACGGTGAGTCCCACCACCGGCCCAGTGTTCATGGTGCAATAAGCAGACTCAGGGCTGGACTGGGACAAAAATTCAGCCCGGGCATTTTGACTGGAGACCGGCCCATCACCTGTTTTTTTTGGAAAAGACATTAAGCCTTACGCTGTTTCTGACACACACCAACGTACACTTTCTTATTGGTAGTATTTATGTATCAATCTAATAAACGTAAACCTACACCATCCTTCCTATCCTGGTATTCTAAAAAGTAGGGTTGGGGGTAACTGATTATTTTTAAAACGATTATTCTGATGATTATTTTATCGAATAGTCGACTATTCTAATGACTATTTAGATGATTAATCTAGCGATTACTTTTCTATTGCACAATTACTAAAAACCAAAAAATTCTCAAATAAATTCCTCCAAGAAATTGATAAGTTGTTACTGTAAGAGAATAAACACTACAGGCCTTCCATTTTGTATAACACTGCTTTTATTGTGTTGCGGTTGTTTATGTTCTGGTGACGTGTAGAACTTGGGAGTGCAGGCTGCTGCCTGAGAGGTGGTTGGAGAAGGAGTGTCTCCATGCTGCTTTGTTTTGTTCACTTATGTGCATGAGGCAAGTGGTGTTACGACCCTTCCTGGGGAGTCACGTGTTTCTCCTATTTTAACTGTAAATCCTTCTAGCTGTTATATTTATAACAAGAAACAGATATTCGGACGGAATATTTTCATGTTTATTCGAATATGATTGTGGAACACACCCAGCATCATAATAAATAAGGTAATATTTAGGTCAATTTAACCCTTTACACGTGACCAGGACACTGTAATCAATTTTTGGCAAGGGAAATTATCATTTGTTGCCATTTTTGAAGTGTTTATGAATGTGAAAGACACCCAGCATCCTGTGATGGCACTAATAACATCAAGAGATAATAAATAAAGTAATATTTAAGTAAATGTAACCCTTTACAGGTGACCAGGACACTGTAATCAATTTTTGGCAATGGAAATTATCTTCTTTTTTTTTCTTTTTTTTGTTGTTGCCATTTTTGGGGTGTTTATGATGATACAGTAGACAGTATGAGTACAGTAACATCAACAGATAATACATGAAACCCTAATTTGGTCAATTTTAGCCTCCATGAAAATCTTAGCAATTCAATCACTTTTTGGCAAGTAAAATGCCATTTTAGTTGTCTACAATTAAATCATCAATAAAGAATTTAAAGATATTTTGAGGCATTTCTTATAGGTAAACGGGAGGGTGTAGTCTATTTGGCAAGTGACAATCTTAATTTTATGTGCTGAAGTGCTTTTATCTTGTTACTTTTAAATAGAGCAACGTAATGTATAGATGGTAACCTACACAGTGTCATTAAAGCCAAAGCTTGATCATTTTAAATACTTTTTTTCAAGTAAAAATGTGCCCCAAACTAGTTAACTGTGGCTCCATGTCAAGTGGACTAAAGAAAGGAAGGGGAAAAAATTAAATCGCTGGAGAATTGTTTATTTCCATTTATACAACGTTTACATTCAATACAGGGTGCCATTTTACATTGTTTATTTATTTTTTTAGTATCAAGGCTGTAACATAAAGAAAGCCAGTTCTTACCACAAAGTTTGTGGCACAAACCATCTTTCAATCGCAAATATTGCAAAAAGGATTAATATATCCTCATTGTGAACGTTTAAGACTAATAGCAACACTTAAAACAACTTCCGAACTGGAAAAACTAATGTGGCAAAGTGCAGAAACGAGTGCCCGGGCGGGATTCGATCCCCAGACTCCCGGGTGAGAGTCATACGCTCTAACCAGTCAGCCAAAGAGACATCTTCTTAGCCCAGTAGCCAGGGCGCATGATCAATCGGGACACTGTGGATGCTCACCACACTGCCAAATCTTCCTCCCTCTTTCCACAAGCACGTCCTCGTGCTTCCGCGCAGGGTGCCACAAACACTGCCACACTAATATCCGCGATAAACATCTATTTAAGTACCGGAAGAGGTTATCTTTGCTTTCTGAATGTCCATATTGCTAGATATGCTGAGTTTTAGGGCGAAATCCTGGGGAATTTTGTCTAGAAATGCAATTACCTCACCGTGCGCGATCCCGCGGTGGCTAATCATTTTTTGGCAGCGAGTGAATTTATGGCACAACACCGGCTCGGGTTTCTCCTCCTCCTCCCTCTTTTCTTCTCCAACCTGTCGCTGGGCTGAGGCTCCATCACTTCCTAAATTGATTTTACTTGAACCTTCACTACCAAACAACTGTGAGATTTTAACACATGTGCCAGCATCAGCCTGAAGGGTCAGTTTCTTTTTTAGTCGAATTTTCTCCGCTCCTCCTTTCCGTTTTTTGTTCTCCATTTTGTAAAGCTCGTCTGTCTGTTTACTGAGATTCACAAACAACTGGCGGGTGCATCAGACCTCTGGCTATTGGTCCAGCCCAGAGTGTATTATTACCAATTGGCCAATCCACCAACTTTTACGAGGCGTCGCGTGGGGCGGCGCGGACAAGTTGTCTGCAACAACTAGAGGCCAGGAAAAAAAAAAAAAAAAAAAACAGACACCGGCCCATAAAAGATGAAAGGGTCGGCCCAGCGGGCATTTGCCCGCTATGCCCTATGGTCAGTCCAGCGCTGAGCAGACTAATGTTGATTAGGCGATTTTATGAAAATCTGTTCATTAACTGCTGACTATTTTACCAGGGTATCCGCGGGTCCTTCAACAGTCTTAAATTAGGTTTTCCAAATTTAAGGCCTTAAAAATCCTTTAAAATGACAAATAATCCTTAAATACAGTTTCCAAAGGTCTTAAATGACCAAAGACCCAATAAACAAGATTCTTATATTTCTATGAAATTTTCGTGAATTTCTAGTTAGTGTTCAGCGTTTTTTGTGTACGACGTTGGCGTAAGCGGAACCGTACACTTCAGTTGGTTGTGAAAGGGGGCTATTTTTAGATGAGCACATTAGCTGGTTAAGCTAGTGGGAGTTTGCGCCATGGGGAAGTGCAAGTTTAATGGTAACTGGATGGCTAATCCCACGTTTGCTACGTGGTTAGCACCGGTTCCAGGCAGTAGCTGGAAATTATAGCTTATTTAATTTTAAAAATTGTTTAAATTTAGTCAAAGTGGCCTTAAAAAATGTCTTAAAAAGTCTTAAATTTGGCTCCCTTAAACCTGCAGATACCCTGTATAAAGAGTTTCTGCATGGCTTTAAAATGAATAGGGGCACACTCTATGCTACAGTTACATGTGGGGTACCACAAGGTTTAATTTTGGGCCTCCTCTTATTCCTAATTTACATAAATGATGACATGCCCTCAGCAGTGAATTGTAAACTACAGTTGTACGCTGATGACTGCTAGTGATGCAGCGATATGAAATTTTAGGGCCGATACGATATCCGATATTAATTTCACTGTTATGGCCAATAACCAATATTTGACGGTACCGATATACAGACATTAGTGTTTCTAAAATCAGCACTTTTGTATAAAATGAAAATTATTAAAGCTGAATTTATATTATTATGTACACACACCCACACTAGTGATGGGAATTCCGGCTCTTTTTAGAGAGCCGGTTCTTTTGGCTCAGCTCACCAAAAAGAGCGTTGGTTACGTATTGTAACCCCAGATTCTATGAGTCTAGTCGCAGCCCTTAAGCTAGCTGCTATTGGAAGGATGATCTCCGCATCAGCCAATCATGAAGAGCTTAAATGTACGCCCACCAATAGTGGGCCCCCTCGTGGTATATAACCGCAGTGACCCCACTGCTCACCTCCAATGGCTCTTATTCCCATCATAACCAGTGGGGCCAGTGGCTTAAGGGCTGCGACTAGACTCATAGAATCTGGGGTTACAATACGTAACCAACGTTCTATTTCGTCTAGTCTTAGCCCTTAAGCTAGCTGCTATTGGAATAAAGCGCAGCTGGATGGGTTTACGCCCCACTGGTTAACACAACCAATGGACACACCCAATCAAATCTCCTCTAGTGGGGGACATTCAGCCTCAGACTAGGCCTAAAGACTGAGGCAGGCACGATAAGAGAGGGGCCCCCACTAAAAAACATTATCCACAAGAGGATAAAATCCATCTCAGCAAGGCCAATGAGGTGCCATAAGCATTCATTTAGCCTGCTGGGGTCCAAGCACTGAACGAGTGATGGAACCTGAAGACACATCTCGTAAATAATGAGTAAAGGAACAGGGTGAAGCCCATGAAGCAGCCTGACAAATGTCTTCCATTGACACACCACTGAGGAGCGCCATCGAAGAGGAAATCCCTCTGGCCGAGTGAGCCCTGAGTGCCTCAGGGGGATCCCGCCCTGATGATGTGTAAGCGAGGGAAATGGCGTCACACAGCCAGCGTGAAAGGCGCTGGGCCGACAGCGCCTGACCAAGGGAAGACTCCCTGTAGTGCACAAACAGGTTTTGTGAGCGACGAATCCCTGAAGTGCGTGACACATATCGTGCAAGCGCGCGCACCGGGCAGAGAAGGTGAGAAGCCGCCTCCTCCTCAGAATTATGGGGAGGAGGAAAAAGTCCAGCCAATGAAATTGACCTGGATTTGAAGGAAGCATTAATGCTTTTGGGCACAAAGGCTGGGTTGGGGCATAAAACAGCAGACCCGCCATCCTCCCGGATCCTGAGGCATGCGGGAGCCACTGAGAGGGCGGTTAGGTCACTCACTCTCTTAACTGATGCTAGCGCCAGCAGCAATGCAGTTTTAAGCGACAGGAACTTGAGTGAGACCTGGTCCAAGGGTTCAAATGGAGCTTCAGATAAGCCGTGCAGAACCACCGTTAGATCCCATTGGGGAAAAAGCGGGCGGGACACAGGTCTGTTCCTTCTGACACCTTTTAGAAAACGTTTTGTGAGGGGATGATTGAAAACAGATCTATCTCCAAAACCCTGATGACATGATGAGATAGCTGCAGCATATGTCTTAACAGTGCTGAATGCGAGGCCCCTGTCCATCAGTATCTGCAAAAACGATAGAACATCCGC